TAACATTTGGCTCCTGCTCACCTCAGATCTGTTGGTTTGACAGAGTGTCGACAAGCTCATCCCTGCACGTCTGAATGTATTTATGTACAGACAGAGAGGGAAAGGAATCTGAACGTACAGGCACAGACATAAACACACGTGGGTGCGGAACAGTTCGTCCAGTTTATAGGTCAGCAAGCATGGATTCACACAGGTGCAGACCAAAAACACACACACAAACACACACATACACTGCATCCAGTTGAACACTTACTGCAGTTTTGTGCAAAAGGAAAAACATGTATTGCCTCTGTTCTTTTCGGTCTCATGTCCCATTCATCAGAAACTGGTGCTGACATGAGATGTTTGAAATCAGTCGCCATACTAACAAGATTAGTCCCACACTATTATATCATATGGTAAATGTAAAAAGTCTTGATTCCAACATGTGACTCTTTGTTGCATGTCATCACCTCTCTATCCCCACTTTCCTGTCACCCTCCAGCTTCTTTATCAAATTAAAGGCAATAAAAAAATAACTGCTTGGAGCCCAGATTCTCTGGACATCTGGCCCAAACAGGACACACATACACATCAGATACACATGGTTATAAACAGTACATGCACATACATACAAACAGAAGCTGAGGGGAAGAAGGGGCGTTGAGTAATGGTTTGAGCTGGTGGTGCACAACAGAACAGCGAACAGACTTTTTTTTTTCTATTCGACAAACACGAAATCACACAGATAATATCCTCCAACACATTTCGCAGCCATCTGTAAGAACCATGTAAGAACCATTATCACTTTCACATACCCCTGGGTTTTGGGCACATTATGATTAGGCATGCATACGGACACTAACTTGAAGACGCCACTTGTATAAATATACAGATTATCCCCGGGTCTGAGTGCTGAGCGGAAGCTGACAGGCAGCGTGACACATGGACTCATACACAAACCGTTTACAGCCTTGCCATCACAGGCTGACTCTGAGCCTGTACGCACCACCAGCAGCTTACAAATGGATGGGAGAGCTGCTGGGGAAAAACATTTCCACCTACAGCTATTTTTCAACAGCTTCTATAGGACCAGTGACCGTTTCTGAGCCTAGTGGACACCCTGCTGTTCTGATGACAGATGACCTGACCTCGCTTCAGCAACCCTATGAGAATACTAGGCTTACTTTGTGGCCACATGTTCAACTTTTAATGGATACCCTGTCCATTATTTGCTCTTATTTAGAAAGCCTCCAGAGAGGTATGTTGGACTCCAAAGTTAACTTCAAAATAAATACATTCCATTTTCTCGATGCCAATAAATATCTCCTTTGTTTTGGGTCCTTGCTTTCAAATGGCACATCGCAGTGCACCAAAAGCATTTTGGATGAACTGAAGCCATTTAAGTCTCCATCTGTCATTGTTTGGGCACAGCCAAGTGTGTGTGTGGGCTTTTTTAGCTTCACATATGTTTTAGCTAAATGCTTATTAAGAAGATTTGGGGCTTGGGATCCAGTTCTTAAGATATGGGAAATATGGGGAAAAAGACTTTTTTTTTTTATAGAGGACGACAAAATCGGATGTGATGCCTTTTCTCTTCCTCTCTCAGCCCTCCTACAAAGCATGCACACTCTTTCTGTTAAAAGCAATTATGGTGATCTTTTCTGTTTCAGTTAGTCTCAATTATTTATTATTTGTCTCTTTGGTGTTAAGGGAGGATTGCTGGAGGACGATAAAAACAAATTTCTCATTCAAAAATGATCACTGCATGTATTCAAATTATGAAAAATTAATCATCTGACACTTCTGGGGACTGTGGTCTGCACCCAGGAAAATGTTTGGATGATAGAGCTATATTCTGTGGCAGTGAAGTGTACTGTATGTGACAGTAAGATAGAATAGAGTCAGGCCAACAATATGTGATGCCATGCTACAGTGTGTTAATATTTAACTTGTTTTTTTCACAGTGTTTTGCTTTATTTTTCTGCCCCTGGAAAATGTTTTATTCTTGTTCAGTTTAATTTATTGTTGTATGTAGTTCAGCGGACTCCTTTCAAAACAAATTCTCAATCTGTAGACTTTCTTTGACAGGGTTGAAGTGACCATAAATTATTTTTCAGACATTGCAAGTTACTACTACAAGCTGCAACAAGAAAATATGCTCCAGTAACAGATAAACATCTCATGGAGACATTTCTAACTTATTCTGGCATATAGAGCTGAGTTGATTAATACCATCCATTTATCATCTACTGTATTTATTTCAGTAATTTAAGGTTAGCTGTACTGCTTAAATAAGCCTATACTACAAAACCAGCAAACATTGCAAACACACAAGAGTGTAGATGTCAGAGCCATGGGACAGTGAGCTTATTTTTATTATTCCACTGTGGACAGAATAACACATTTTAAAATAAATTCTGTTATGTTCCTAATGCCATTAACACTTCACCCTTCCCTAATCGCATACGCACATAAGACAAAGGCTCTGGTTAAACACGTACTGATACTTATTTTTTGGTCACATGCTGTGTGTAGTGCTACGTGTATTCTGCTAGTGTCTGTCAGTGAGATAAAATGGTTGTTTGACAGACATGCATACATTGTCTTTGCAGGTTTTCAATGAAAAGACTAACACAATTACACAATTACACAGTATTGATCAACCCAGTCACAAGGTGCTGTGGAAAAAATGCATACTATCGTATCTGCAGCCATCTGTATCAGCAGCACAACAGGACTTAGACCCTGTGTACAGGTGTGATGCCACTGTGATATAAAATACAACTAAAAGAAAATTCAATATTCATCATTGCGCAAATAGGAAGGGAATGTTAAAGCTAATTCCTCTTCATAGCAAACATCTTCAAATTTTCTCAGTACATTGACATATTGAGCAAGTTAAACACACTTTCACACCATATGTACAAACATTAAAATAATTCATAACTACAGTTCTTCAGAGGATAAACTTAATCCAGGACAATTAGTGGAGTGTGAAATGTGTCCACATATTTATTTCTCTAACTTAAGTGGTACCCAAAACCTGGTGTAGGGACTTCTAGGGGTGCTGGAGGGGGCTTGTGGGATATATATACACAGCACTGTCTAAAACACAGACTTGTTCTTTTGAAATGGGACCTCAGTATCTAATGAGGCAAAAAACCTGTCACCTGACAAACTGGTGAAACTAGCATAGGATGCACGAGCACCTCTGCAACCAGTGTTCCCTGGGGCACTAGAGCCATTACCCATTAACCCCGCAGGGCCTTCTCACAATAACCAGGCAAGTTTTCTCTCCTGAGAAGTGCAATCTGCTCCTGTCATTTATCTCACTATAAATTGGGATGTGTATAGTTAAACAAGCACAGCTGGAAATACCAGTGTGTAAACTAGCAGGGTCAATTCAAAGTGACCTTTTTTAACTTTATTTACGCAAGGAGGGTTTGCATGCTCGTTGGGTTTTTTTGCAGTTGCGGGGTGAGAGTGTTTTTCTCATCAACTTTTCCAGCCTTGTTTACACATATTAAAAGCACTGCCCTTCCTGCTACATATTTATAGTTACACTTCACACCCAGCAACCTCAATCATCTACAGTTTACCCACTGAGGATCGTGGTCTCTCTTGGGCTTTGTGTAATCTCACATCACAGAAACACTCAAGTTTACCAATTTAAGACAACTCAGTGAGGAATAGTTTGCATCTGTATCCATGCTGAGGTTTTATAAATTACTAGTTCTGTTTGATAGCTATTACTTGTTATATTTGTTTTGCAGCCTAATTTCTTATAAGCCATTTCTTGTTGTTGAATAAAACATGCAAGTACTTTTGATTTTTGTCTCTCTGGCATTAAATTTGTTTTTTTTTTTTTAAAGAAAACCAAGAACAACAGCCACTGGAATGAATTAACTATTAGGATGGAAATAAGCATTTTGCATTTTGAAAAAGGGAGTGGAAGGTTTTGTTAGGTGCAAAACAAAAGAAAAATCCCATTTTGTGCAGCATATCCATCCATCAACTCTCCCATGGGGGCAGCCAACCAGCCAATCACGATTTCTTGTTTGTCTATGGTAATTACACTGATGGAAGTCAAGATCAAGTCACACAACTCTTCAACTCTTGGATGTGGGAGTTCAGTCGCTGCTGGCTGTGGTGTTGGTGGGCCTGACTCACTGTGGTCAATACAGTTCCCATTGGACTTGAGTAAGGGGTTCCCTGGTGTCCTGGCTCTTCCCATCTAGCCACCTAATCATCCCCCACTGTACCTGGCTCAATGTTTCCCTCCATCTCCACCTCAGGCTCATGTTGGTGGCTCTCTGGTTCAAAATGCCTCCTGTGGATCATCCAGGAGGGTTCTACACATAGGTGGAGATTAAGGGGAGTTTATCCCCTTCGCTTGAAGCGCTTTGAAGATCTAGATAAAGCACTTCTAATCCATTATTATCATTATTTATTATAATTACCATTATTATAATTATATCTAAAGCTGGAACAAACCCTTGAGGATGTCATGCTGCTTAAAGTATTCGGAGGAATAATCAGAAGAGCTGTGGTCCCTTTTCACTTACTTCAGTAGACCTGAATTGTTTATGTGATTTCCCTGTTATGATGTTTTTGTTAAATACAATGTGTCAAACAATATTCTATCATATTTGTTACTGTATGGCAAAAAACAAAGCTTTTGCCTCAATCACCTATATAATTACCGGACTGCAGTTTTACATTTCTAAACTAAAACACTAATCTGAGTACACTTAAAAAGGAGTAATGGGAGCTACTGTGGTGTTGTATACCTTTTGAACTCCACCTCACCTCTGCCTCCATCCTTGTTCAATTAGAGCTCTCCTGTTGGCCTCTAAGTGCAACCCAGAAAGCTTTTGCCATAATTATTGTAGTCTTAAAATGTCAACATGCCACTTTGTTGCCAGTAAAAAAACAAAAAGGGAAACAAATTACAGTGTGACACATGTGCGTTAATGCATTTGGGTGTATGTGTGAAATTCACAGTTGACAAAGCAGAGTATTCCAAATACATTTATTACAGTGATATTTCTCCCAACAGGGAGGTGCTGCAACATTGGAGACGTTACAAATCAAATCAAAATGGACTCAAACGTTTACATCTGGATTTACAATCAAATAAAACAAATTAAAATGGACTTGATTTTTACATCTAGATTTACTAAAATATCAGTAACGGCTTTAATCTGGCACGCTGGACTGGCACGCTTAGACGCATATGATGCTACATCACCACCCACCGTGATGTTTTTCATACTCACATCTTATCCTGGATTGTGGCTGAAGGCAGATCAGACAATATACATTTGGGTGTTGGATGAATATTTTAAATGCATTGTACATCAGCAGTTAATTTATCTTTGTGCCCCGTTTCATCCATTTAACTAAGAAGATAAATCAATATAAAGATATGAGACTTCACGTTGCCTGAGAATATGGTGATTGCAATTCATGTTACAGATTAAAGATGACATCATCCATCCCCCACAGCAAAAGCTGTCACACCCAAAATGTTTATATTTTCAATTTTTTTTTTTTTTTTTTTTAAATAATACCCAGTTTTCACTCATCTAAAGCAAAGCTGGCCAAACTATTAAAAAGCTGGAATATTTTCTACCACCCAGGCTCAGAGCATAGAAACCAAGCAAAACTGACACTGCTGGGAATGTGCAACAGTGCAACAGTGCAACCTTTGGACTAAAAAACAAAACACAAAACAAAAAGACAAAGAGTGCAATAAGAAGCTCGACTCTCCCAGTGGAGATGTAGCCTTGATGCTCTTCTCTCATAGCTCAAGTCTCTCACCGCCAAGTAAAAACAACCACTGTCCTAATGAGTGGGAGGAAGAGCAAAGGTGTCTGGGAAAGATGTGCCGCTCCCACAGACGACATGAGGAGAAGAGCTACTCCTTACATGCTAATCATGTCCTGAGCAGTACAGCAGAACCTGGATCCTAAAAAAATGTCAGTAACAAGGTTGTTGATGTAGCCACAGCCAGGTTCAGCATCCACAGTGTAAAACCTTCCAAGTGCTGCCAGATGGTTGTACAGATCAAAGCCACTGACATTAGAATAATGACCTTGGCTTAAAAAAAAGAGGGAAATATCAAAGATCTATTTACTTAAAGTAAATGTGATGGGGAATGTCTAGAGAATAAGGGTGAATGAATTGATTCTGGCAGGTTTTTGGCTCATCTTGGAGGTCAAGCCAATCAAATTTGGGTTTCCAAATTGAAGAGACATGACAAGAGTTCACATGAGAATGAGGCCAGCTGTGGATAGCAAAAAAAAACGTTCAGCGAAAGGAAGCATTAAAACTCAAAGAGGATGGGAATAAAAACTTTGAACTTTACTTTCTTTATCATCTTTTAGAGATCCGCATTCGATCTATTCATACTACCTCTCTTTCTCAGCTATCAGCACCCTGAAATGTCTTTGGTTTTGTTGCGACGTTGGAAACGCGTGTCAGCAGGGTCAAAACCTTGTTCATGGGCTCCGAACAGAGCCCAACTGGGAGTCTTGGCTATGTAGTCCAAGGCTGAGAAGCTCTGCTGTCCCCCACTCTCCTCGTGAGCCTGGACCAGCTCCTGGAAACGCTCATAGTCGATCCATGTCCACCACTCGCCATCCACCTTGAACTGAAAGCACACACAAAGAAGGGAGAGAGAAAGAAGGTGGCGGATGAGCGAGCAGCAGTAATCCAAGCAGTGTTTATGGATCTACATGTGAAGACCTTCTGGCAGCAACTGTGAAGCTTTAATCAGAGAACAGTATCAACTGTAGATCTCAAATGTATTTGAAATATTGTGATTATTTTGAAGCCTGTAATTTAGATAATTTAAGTTGACAAACCTTTGAAGGACTTACACAGAAACTGTAAATCAAAAGCTATTAATGTAAATTGAAACTTACACACATTTCATACAAATGGATGCAAAGCAATATGCTCAGATACAGAGTGAGAAATAAACAACCACTGAGGGAAGTAAGGCTCATATATAGTGTTGTGTTGTGTTTTGTAAATTTAAAAGAGAAGAGTTTACAGATGTGATCAAACAGACCTACAGTGACTATACAGCTTCTCGCTCCACATTACTTCAGCCTTTCTTTAAATGGTTGTGGATTCGCCAACATCCCTTCTCCTCACATCTCTCCCTGTATCAATCACTGCTTCTTCTTAGTCTCTTACCCGATTTGCCATCTATCTTACTACAGAGAAACAAAGGAGGAAAATAAATGGACGGAAGAAGAGAGGATCTGAAAAGAGTTTGTGTGTTTATTTGTAAGAGGCACACTAACTACCAGAGTGTTAGACAGCGAGGAGAAATCCTCTAACATCATTCTGCCTCTCTGATCCAGCTTGTTCTCCCAAACCAGCACAGGGGTTAAACAGTGTGACCTCTACTTTCCCAGCATGCAACAGTGCACTGATACAATACCATGTTGCCCTTGTTATCTGTAAAGGTGGGAAAGACTGAGAACAAAACAGAGAGCAAGCGAAGCAGGTCCCACATACAACACAATCTTTCCACTGTAGTTTAATACTGCTTGTGGCAGCATGTAGCGAGTGTTTAAAATGGTTCCTGATCACTTGAACTCACCCGTGGGTATTGTTTGAAGGTTTTTGATAAGCTGTAACAGGATGCAAAATGCTAAGCTGTCACTGGGGAAGATTTTTGTTGTGCTTTAGCTCTCAGCATTTAGCATTTAAAAGCTCTTTGGGGTTCGAGGCTGCTTTGGACCAGACCCCGGTCTGTGCATTGGGGTTTGCTTCTTCTCAGACTTACACCAAACTGCTTCTACTACTGTAATTCACACAACAGGAGGCAAAAAAGAGCTAGTATTACATCACTTTCTCAGAAAAAAAAAACAGCAATTCAAAATGACACAAAATGTACTCAAGATGGACTAACATTTACTTGCCAAGTTAAAGACTTTCCTGCTAGAGATGGCGGCCCACGGAGGGAATAACGGCATTAAGCGTTTGAGCTTTAGCCTTTAGATGCTTTTGCGCCTGCCTCAGCCATTAGAGAAAAGCTACCCGCTGCATTGCTAATGAGGCCTGAGAAAAAAGAGAAAAAAATGAAAGCAGCGCCTATTGGGAGTTAATGTTTCTCGTAATGAGAAGGGATGATATTTGTTCACCCGGCATCTCTGCAAACAATTTCAGTCTCTAAGCAACAAAGCAAAGCTTTGCTGTCTGGGACAAGAACAAGACGGCCTGTTGTTTTTACTGACAGTGTCTTTGCTGAGGATCACTGAGGACAGCTTCTTCTCGGAGCACCACAGGAGGTGCCCTCATGTATGAGCACATGCCAATGAGCTATACAGTACTTACACAGACACAGAGACACAGACACACACATACATACATACACACACAGAGCACATGGGCTTGCTGAACCAGCCACAAAACAAACATCCACCTAGGGAAAAATGCTGCCTTCTGGCCATGTTGTACAGGCAACAAAAGTGTGAAACACCTTTCACGTAATGCCATTTAGTTGGAATTATGAGTCAGAGGAGAGTTTGGGAATAAACACATACCTGTAAGTGTAAGTGGTGGCAAAATGGCTGTAAAACCACTGCAGCAGAAGTACAGATACTGCAGGTAGTTAGCCAGCTTGCAGCACTTTAAACAGCTTAAAAACTCTCCTGTCAGTGTCCTGATTGGTTAGTTTGCCAGTCGAACATGTAAACTGGCCTGGTAGGAGACTAAAGGAGCATTTGGGATGCATCTTTAAAAACATTCTTTTAATACCGTCATAAGAAATATTAATCCATTTGACAGGCAGTCTGAAAAAAAAAGGAACTTCTCTTAGACTTTAAAACATTACTGACGACATGGATTTGTAAGTCAACAGGTCTTTCAAGAAGATTATCTCTGGGGTTTGTGTCTTAACTGTGCTGTTTTCATTACGGCGTCCTATGAGAGAAATAGGGCTGAATGTAAGAGTAAGGGAAGGATAGACGAAAGAGGAGAGATGAAAGAGAAAAAAGGCTGAAAGAGAAAGTAAAACGAGGTGTGAGAGAGGTAGAGATGTAGAAAAAGAGAGAAAAGCCTATCAGTGGGAAGATCCCAGGGGTTGACAAGGTACTAATGATGATGATGTGTCAGTGCAGGGAGGATCTATCGCTACTTGCTGCTTAAGAGTGATCTCTCCCTCTATCTCTCTCTCAAACACACACAGAGCTCTGATGTCTTTTAAAGGACTACATCAAACAGTGATATCATCCAACTGGAACTACAAGATCTGAGGACTATGCAACACACACACACACACACACACACACACACACACACACACACACACACACACCACACACACACACACACACACACACACACACACACACACACACACACACACACACACACACACACACACACACACACACACACACACACACACACACACACACACACACAAAATGAGACTGATGTGCTTTCCTGTTTCCTACGTTTTAAACTCCACTGTTACGTAAGTTAACATTAGAACTTGGAGGACTTTATATTCTAGGTTCTCCTCCTGCACGAGGACATTCATGGTGCAGAATACACTTAAAAGAAAAACATCAGACTCTCCACTCACAGGAGGAACGTAAATTGCCCCCACTTAACAAACTCTGCTGGATTATTGATGGCTGCCGAAAAATAAAGAGTAACTAATTCAACACAAGTTGTCAAATTAAAAACCAGAACAAAAACAGAGTCATTTGTATCCATGTTAGCCACAATATTTCAGGATGAATATAATCTAAAGAGGAGTTATTTTTCCATTCTTCAGCAAGAGTAATTAGGTTTGGATTATATTTTCAGTTTGTGCAGATATCTCTCCCATGTTATAATTTATTTCCTAAATAAATTGTGTGTACATTGTTTCCACACTGCAAAGCAGAAACACAACTGCAGTCGCACCTTGACAACGCCGTTCAGGTGCATGTGCATTCACATATGGACATAAAGAAACGCATATGCACAGTGGGGGAAAAAAGGAATAGCTAGAGGTAAGGTGTGTGTTCAAAACTTTAAAAAGTCTTTATAGATGCATAAAAAGCCTCAAAAAGACAGTGGAGTGGAAAATGCTGTTCATTCTTCCCACTGTGGCTCTGCCAGAACTATTAGTTAACAGACAGATAGATTCAGAGCATCAAGCACTTATACTGCAAGCTGTGTGACTGAAAGCAGGAAGTGGAAAGAGAGGAAGAAAATGGGCAGTGTGTATATTAAGAAATACTGACAGTTGTAGGCGGGGAGGTGCAAATGAATTAAGGTGTCTACAGCAGTTGCACAAATGGCCACAGTTATATTTGTGTTAGTGAGAGAATGATATAGAGATGAAAAAAGAGACGGAAGAGGAAAGAGGATAGGAGGGGAATGAAAAGCGGATGGTGGAAATCAATTCAGCAAAATACTGATTGTGTTTGTGTGTAAGGAAAGGAAATAATTGAATGAACAACTGGCTGTAACACCGTTATTTATCTCAGGCGAGTGTGTATGTGTCATCACCAAGAGGAAGTAATTATAATTATGATGATCTTTGTTTACTTTTATACATGTACCTGCCTGTCAGTTTATCTGTATAAAACAGAAACACATTTTATAATTGCATTTTAAAATGACCACCTTACAGATCGTGCATGACTAATTTTTTAATAAGAGTCTACAGCTAAGCTAGTGTCTGTGTAAGACTCAATGCCCACAATGCAGGAGAAGGCCATAAGAAAATAGCAAAGCTTTGTCAGCTTTCAGTTTCCACAGTCTGAAATGTAATTAAGACGTGACAATTTATGGAAATTGTGGAGGTCATGAGAACTGGAAGACAAAGAAAACTCTTTCTGCTGGTCAGGAAGGCAAATCAAAACCCCCATGTGAATGCTGAAAACCGTGTGGTGGTGTACCGTTCCACTGCACAGTGAACCTTATCTGTGTCCAGTAAATTAAAACTCTTCGGCCACAGTCAGCATGTATGTTTGAAGAAAAAAAAGCATCTGTCATGCTTTGGGGTTATGGAGCAGCCACTGGCACAGGAAACATTGCACGGGTGGAGGAAATAATGGATTCTACTAAATACCACAAATCTCCCACAACAGGATACTGATCCTAAACATACCTCAAGAGATGCAAGCTGAAGGTTTTGGAATGGCCCTCGGAGTCCCCTGACTGACTAAAACCAGTGATTTTTTGGGGGGTTTCTCAGAAAAGTAAAATATTAAATGAGCATTTCACTGTGTAGTAGAAAACCCGTCTAAATAAAGTGTAACTACACCCTTCAGTTCTGCTAGTGCCCTCCTTCTCAGTAAATTTAAAAAATGCATCAGAGACCAGCGAAGGACAGTGACCGGAGTGATTGACAGACTGACCACAGCAGTGTAGCAGAGACAGTGGCTGTTAGTCAGAGCTAATGAGCAGCTGCTGTCAGACTCTCCATGTCCGCGCTTGGAAACACAGAGAGTCTGGTGGAGATTTTACAGTCACTCAAAGCTCTTTGACAGCCGTTTTTAAAAGTTTCTGTGTGCATCCTGTGTTGTAGCTAAGCTAGCGGCTCAGAGAGGCTAACTATCTGTGTGTGTGTGTGTGTGTGTGTGTTGTGTGTGTGTGTGTGTGTGTGTGTGTCTGTGCGAGGGATCAAGGTAAACTGCTGTTGTCTCCACAGCCGTCTAAAGCACACGTCTGAACCACTGCACCAGAATAGAAAATTTTAAGTAGGGGGTTAGCAAAAACTAACAAACTCCAGTGAATGATGCATCTCGGTCAGTATACTTTATATATTATATATTATATATATATTATATATATATATATTTATTAATTCACTTTACAGCTCAAAAAACACGTTTTAGGGTGGAGGACCTCTTTTAATAAACTGTAATAACACATAGAGCACGATGTTCATGTTTATGTGTGTTTGTGTGTGTGCGATAAGGACTTGTGGGTGCCAAGCTGGCTGGCTTGAATTTCTACTCTGTCAAAAAGAGCCAAAATGGCAGTTAATCATTCATTAATTATTGACGGACAGTTGCCTTGGCAGAACCCACCACTGCTTGATACTCTCCGGGGCGGGTGGGCGAGAATGAACCACTCTGATGGTTGCATATTTCGAAAGGAAGGCAGACAGGAGACTATGTTGTATAAATTATAAAACAATCTGCAGAATCCCAACAGATTCAAAGAGGATCACCAGGTACACATTATTCATTATCATGTGTAAAGGGATATTTAATGCAGTATCCACTGTCTGGGTACATTGATAATGAAGATAACTTAGAAATGCTAATGTGCAAAAGCATATGAAGTAGCCAGTATGCTGCACCTAATACATATACAGCAGATTGTTGCACCTAATGAACATGCATGTCATCAAATTAGAGTCTACAGTCTACATTGTTACTTTTATCACTACAGCTATTTTTTTTTAATCTCATTGTGCTTTGCAATTTCTGGTTCCCCTTAACAAGCAGAGGGTAAAAGGGACTAGAGCTTCAACAATTAGTCAATTAACTGCAAAGTATTTTGATAATAAATTAATCGTTTTGGTTTATTTAGTGTTCTATGACAGTAAACTGTATATCTTTGGTTTGTGGACAAAACAAGACATTTGAGAACGTCACCTTGGGCTTTAGGAAACAACATTTTCTGGCCAGACAACTAATTGACAGATTCATTGATAATGAAAATTATAATCATTAGTTGCAGGCCTAAAAGGGACCCCTAACATATATTTTAGGCCTGAAATTATGTATTTATCTTTCTGTTGCCAATGGCCTGTTTCCTGTGTCTGAATTTATGATCCAAGCTAAATTTGATGAAGCAAATTTAACTGATAGCAAGTGTACAAACAGGATAGACACAGCTTGTTGCCAAACAAAAACAAATGAACAAGTGGCTAATTAATTTGACTAATCAATTAATAAATGCTTTTTACACTCACAAGTTGGAAAACCACCATCAAACTACCATCTAAGCTAGATGGTACTACTGATGTGAAATGTGCTGGAGTAGAAACCTCTTGTAAATTAATAAACTAATTTTATGGAGGACTTAATACGCAGTAGAGGACTGTTTAAGTTCTACGCTGTGACCTATGCATGCCTTTGAACTATTTCAGTTTTCAGTATGCTCACCATGTTTAACTGGAGAAGGCTGCAGATGCGATATGTTATGTCCTCACCTTGGTGTGTGCGATGAGCAGACAGTTGGAGTGCTCGTGTTCGCAGGCGATCTCATACTGTGGCAACATGTCAGTCAGCTGCTGGACGAAGGCAACCACTTCCTGGTGCCAGGGGACGTTAGCCATGGTCAGACTGCTTGCAGAGCTTTCACCGCAGTACGTCACTCCCTGCACACACACAAAAAAAAAAGCACAGAAAATTTTACAAGGCGTTACAATTTACTAACCCATGTCTCCGACTATATACTTTTGAAAAACAGGTCTTCCTTTAAAGAATGCATGACATGTACTGGATTTTGAGGTTGATAAAATTATTGCAACTCTAAAAATTATATACTGGGCAATATTTGGTTTTTACTACAACACATTACTTATTTATTATTTATTAAAAAACATTTTCCGAGAAATCCTTGAATCACATTATCAAAGAATTGATAGACTGAATTTGTACTGAAGCAAGATACTGCTGATTCTGCCAATTAACTTTTAGATGACAATAACAAAACATAGTAATAGCACATTTTGAACATCAAACCTAATTGAAAACACAAATACAACAATCAGTTTGTTCAAGAAAAATAATGGATAAAAATAGTTAATCATGGAGATTATTTGGGCTGCAATCTTATGTAACCTGCCATAAATAATGATGAAGTCTGAGGCATCTATAATGCAGCATGATGGGGGTAGAAGGTTGGCAGATAAGCAGATGAAATGCAAGAATTTGCAAAGAAAAATCATCGGATCAGGTCAACTAAAGCTTTCATTTGACCAAAATAATCAAAGAATTGAAACAAAAGAGCTACCTGTACTTTGGAAAAAAATAAAAAATACATACAGTATCTTGGTAGTCTGGAGTGTATGATTGACAAAAAGGCTTCATACACAGCAACAACTGCTCATCATCACCTCTAAAACTTGGTCACATGTAATTTGCCATTCAGTGGGTGAGAGAAATGGAGTAGGAAGTGAAAAATCTGGCCTTGGCCACAAAAATCAATCAAAACAGCAGGCTGGATGCTGAGTGTTTTTTGACCAATAGTGACAATTTTGTGCTGTGATGAGGAGGCAGAGGCGCTGAGAGAACAACAGCTCCCTATGGCAGAGACAAACTATTGACGAGTTGGGCTGAGAGCAGAAAGGTGTGAAGGAGCCAGGAAAGGAGTGATTCTTTGATGTCCACTTTGTATGAAGTGAAGGAATCTGCAGCAGGCCAAACAAGTACCCTTCAATACAAGACCTGCATTAGCAATCAGATTAACCATTAGTTTTTGTAGCTCGACTTCACCATAGATTGAACAGTGTTAGGACTTCAATGTTTTAGTCCCTAAATAATGAAATGGGTCAAATTGTTGTGCAGTTCATTGTTTATTGTATTTCACTGTCAAGCTACCACCATGGGCCAAGGCAATTAAACCTAGACTGACCTTTGTGTTAATAAATCCTTCTCATTGGTGGAGCCCTTGAGTTGCACAAAAATACTGCAGAGGTAGCAACAGATCTAGAATCTCCAGAAGTTTTATGCATTTCATTTGTCAGTATTTCTATAAGCATCAACATTGAATCAGCCTCTCAGAGACGAGGAGGTAAAACCAATAATATACAGTATGCCCTTACAGAGAACTCTTACACTCCCACTGCTAGTTTACAATGCCAAACTAGCAGTGGGAAGAGTTTTTTAAGAAGCATTTTGCAAAATATACTGCTTAGGTGAATTATAGGCATTCTTAAGGCTGTGCAAAGATGCCCTACATAATAGTAATATGGTGTTTGCTCATAAATCAGGCAGCACTGCAGTTTGTTTTCGAACCACAGTACCAAAGTCACGAGTACAATGTTTTGTTTGGGATTGTTAGTTACATTCTGCTACCACATCTCTTTGGTGCAAACATGTTGAATTTAAAAATGTTTTACTCACTTCGACATTTCTCACCAAGTTTCAGTCTCTATACACACGAATGCCTGCACAAACACAAACACCACCTGTGTGTCAGTGTGCTGTAACAGAGCCAAGGCAGCAGCTGTACTACCGTAATTCTCTGATCCGTTGGCCAGGTATGCTGTCTGATCCTCACCCAGGTACCTCATGAAGGAAAAACAAGACTATCCGTGTGTGTGTATTTATGTGTTTGTATCTATGTTTGAGGAAGAAAATGGTAAAAATGAAATCAACCATTCTCCCTTCTCTCTTTCTGGTAACAGTATAATTACCAAACACAGCAACAACAATCAAACAGCTCTGTACTGTAAATGTAAACCTGCATAAGCCCGTTGTTCAAATTAGCTATTTGTTATCAACCCCTGCTATGCAGCTTTATACCTCATGTCCAACATATCACACCTGTGATGACACGATACTCTCAAAAACTTTGTGTACTTTGGTAAAAACCAATTAAACAAATGAAAGATCTTACCTGAAGATATAAACCACAGTAGCCACAATTATTTGAATAACTTTGCTTTAAATATTCTGGTCATTGGATGTCTACTGTACTGTACTGGACAGTACAGTCCAAGTTGGTAAGACTACTGAGACTCACTGAGCAGATTTACTGAGCAGATTTCAATTTTTGAAGATTTAATGTCCAGTATAAATTTTAAATAGTTTTCATTAACATTAAGTGTTGCTAAATTATGAAAATCTTTAAAAGACATTTATTTTCCAGGACATTTTCCAGACGTTTTTCTTGACAATACAGGACAGCACTTGCTCCTTGTTTTCTAATGCAGGTTTCATGATGATGAAGTGTGTCAGGTTCATTACAGGTAGGTGGTCAGTGATTATGGGACATGATTTTTCTGCTGCGTACTCTCCTGTGTAGTAACTACAGTTTTCATCTGATCATAGCATTAATGTAGCCACTGAGTGAAGGGCTAAGGACAACACTGATTATTTCCAGGATAACTGGTCATTTTAATCAATTACCAGGTGTTTCCATGACTGGAAAACTAGTCTTTAAATCTCAGATTCAGAGTTTTCCAGGATGTGTGGGACCCCTAATTAGTTCAAACTGTTTAAGGTTGTTTAGTTGCTGCACTAATCTGACTTCTGCAATTAATATTTATGACTCTAAACACCGGGAAATTAAACTGTTCTGACCACTGACAAAAGTACATGCCTAGTAACGATGAAATACCAGATGTTTCACCATTTCACAGGAGCCAGACATCAAATTCCACAAATCTAATGGCTGAGGCCAATTCCCTAAATCCAAAAAGCAGAATTTATAGCTATGAAAGAAGTGTTTTGTCTAAGGAAACTGAAAATTCAGCCCTCCTTTTGGGATATTTACTTGCTTTCTTCTGTGACAGACTACACAAGAAACATTGGGGCAGTTATTTTGATAGTGCTGCTCTTCTATTCGAGCCACTCAGCAGTCGTAGAGAGTGCCTTCACTTGTGAACTGCAGCCATTTCTTCAGTAATTGAACCACATACATCTGCAGGGCTGCTTGACAATTCACTGCACAAACAAAACTAACACAAACAGAAAGTGAACCGTAAGAGGTTGAGTTTGGAGAGAGAGTAAGGATGCAGCTGGGGGCGATGCAGGGCAGGGCCGCTGGACAGAATTGATGAGGGACCTTGGTGTTATCAGCCTTGCCTGGAGGCCCGCTGAATAAAGATCAACTATCCAGGACTCAGTATAAATCACAAGGAGTGGGCCAGGCAGGAGGAGGGAGCGATAAGAGGAGATGGGAAAAAATCTTTGAGATATACAGAGGGAATGAATGAACTGTATCATTGAGGAAGTTGCAAGAGTATGGGAGATATGGAAGGAAAGAGTGAGAGCCCGTCACCTGTTCACTAATAATCTATCTTTTATCTTTAATGGAAATCATAAATGCTGATCCTCAAGGCCCCCCTCAATGTGCGCAACATACAGCTGTGTGTGTTTGACTAAATTTATCTCCGTACATTTACACCCTTGCTCAATTCCTTCTCTCTCCCTCACTTTCTGTAATCCATTTCCTTCCTGGGCGAGTGAGGGACCAGTGGCAGGTAAGTGGTATTGATGCAACACCGAGATGATAAATCACACACTCGACAACAATTGGAAAGTGGATGGTAAATTGCGTAGGCAGAATGTGTTGCACCATATAAGATGATGGACTAATAATTAATGGGTCAATAACACAGATCTTGCTGCTGGCGGCGGTGGACACACACACCCGTGCAATACATAATTTTTTCCACACTACATCTTAATCAAGTGCATGCACAACACTTGTGTTTGTATATATACACACTACACTACATATTTATACAAAAAAATCCACTCAACACTGAGAAAAAAAATGGTTCCCATGCAAAAAATAAAAAACCCTCCACAGTGACTTATATCTATCTTAAATCCGTTACGATGGCAGTCAAATCGAGGGTTGGTAACTAGCATTTGGTCCGAATGAAATGACTGATAACTGGGACTGCTACAGATACCAGATTTCTTTTTCATAGCATTTGATTCATTCATTTCTGTCAGGATGTAAAGATAATATCAGAAATGCTTCTCAAATTACCCACCCTAACTTTAAGGAAACTTCAGAAAAGACATAGTTTTTTTGTTATCTTTTAAGACACTTTAATTTTTTGCACCAAATCATTATTTTAATTTCTTGCGTTTTGGCCTAAAGCTTGCTTTTATCTCCAGCTAAATTAAGTCACAGTAGATAAACTACACCAATAAAGGAAAGATCACATTAGCTCCCAAGGGATTTTTGAATTGCTTTTATTAAATGATAATAATAATAATAACAACAACTTTAGAAAAATCTGTTTGTTCATTCCTTCTTAAATTACTGAGGTGCTATGTCTCCAATCTCCTACCTGTAATCTCTCAGAAAACCTTTTTCCCTTGATGCCAACTCTCTTCATCCTGGAGAGGGATGTCAGCAGACTATTCAAGACACTGTCTCAACAGAGATGAGAAGGAACTAAGGTGGCTCACTCCTGAGCTACTTCTAGAAAAAACTATTATTTTGCCTGATTGGGCAAGTGAAGCATTACTAGATTTACTAGCCCTGTGTGGTATTTTATTTGGCCCGGGACATTCTTATTGTTGAGCCCTGCCAAGGCATATTCCTTGTATGTGAAAACCTACTGCAACAAATCTGATTATGATTCACTTTTACCACTGTGCCTTCCCTAATTGCTAGGTGTATTGTTTA